GAGCGGCGAAAAAAACCTCCGTAGATCAATTTAGATGAAACTGGAAATTACTCTTGCAGTCGTAAGCATTTTTGCGAGATTCGTAAGCAATCGGAAGGTCCTGCGTAAGCTGCATGCATGAGTCACTCGTCGTAAAGCTTTGCGTAAGCTCCGTTTGTCAGACCCGTTTTTCGTTCAGATTGTTTGGTAGAAGTTGCTTTTGGTCCGCGTAATGTTTTTTGGCGTGAGAATGGGATCAGATTGCTGGAATGGGTTCTTTCGAGCAACAAGGAAAGGGATTCTTTCAGTGAACAACTTTTTCAGGCTCAGACAACTGCTGTTTGACCGTTGGGTTGCCTGTGCAAACCTTTTGCAATGTTCCACGCACAGCGCGTTGGCCAGCTTGAACAAAAAAGCTCGCGTTTGGAAAACAACTTTTCGAGCCCCGAAAGTTTTGTTTTGGCACCTCACCTTTGTCGTTGAGCGGGCTTGGAAAACAACATGTTGAGCCCCGGGCTTGTTTTGCTGCGGCTTTGCCTTTTCACCTTTGGGCCTCGGGCTTGGAAAGCACAAAAAAACTTTTCGAGGCCAGACAAGTTTTTTTTGTTGCGAGGCACCTTTTGCCACCTGCAGGCGCTTTTCAGGGCCCCGAAGCCCAAAAAGCTCGCGGACTGGAAAAAAACTTTTCGAGCCGAAAGTTGTTTTTGGGGCCTTTCCATGCGAGTGGCTGCTCTGTCGTGCTGGCGCCTCTTGCTCAGAGGACCCGCGTGCTTTCTGCAGAAAAAAAACTTTTCGGGCCCCGAAAGTTTTTTTTCCGTTTGGCCCGGGTTCAATCCCTAGTGTGCCCACGTCAATGCTGAGCTTGCGCAGCAAAGCCTTTGCACCTTTGCGTGCAAGCTGTTGCTCTGTCATGCTGGCGCCTCTTGCTCGCGGAGGATCCGCGCAGAAAACAACTTTTCGGGTCTCGAAAGTTTTATTTCAGCTTTTGCCCCTCCATGTCTGTGCAGCAAAGCCTTTGCACCTTTCCATGCAAGCTGTTGCTCTGTCATGCTGGCGCCTTGCTCGTGGTGGATCCTCGCAGAAAACAACTTTTCGGGTCCCGAAAGTTTTACCCTCCATGTCACTGCTGAGCCTGTGCAGCAAAGCCTTTGCGCCTTTCCAGGCAAGTTGTTGCTCTGTCCTGCTGGCGCCTCTTGCTCGCAGAGGTTCTGCGCGCTTGCGGCAGAAAAAAAACTTTTCGTGCCCCGAAAGTTTGTTTTCAGCTTTTGGCCCTCCATTGTCTTGCTGGGCCTGTGCAGCAGCCTTTCCATCTGCAAGCTGTTGCTTTGTCATGCTAGCGCCTCTTGCTCACGGGGGATCAGGCACGAGCAACTTGTCGTAAGCTATGCGTAAGCTCCATCTTCGAAAAATAGCAAACGTAAGCGACCTTTCGGTTGGCGGAAGCTTTCCGCAAGCGATTGCGGAAGCTGGAGTAATTTCCTTTGCGGGTAACAGGGTTTTTTCACTGCTCAGGTGGGGTTTCAGATCACTATTCAGCACTCCAAGAGATCCCCTAGCACTAGTGTAAGAGAACCCCTTCAAGGGCTGGGCCTCATTTCTTGTTCCGTCTCCGGGTTGGTCATCGTTGGAGGTGTCCGGCAGCTCGAGGCTGCCATCCAAGAGGCTTGGCAGAGCCACAGCGCCTACGAGGCGCGCGGTCAGGCGGACGCCTTTCGGACGTCGCGTTTTTTGGACGAGACGGCGACGGCGCCGGGGCTTTGGAGAAAGGGCTCCCTACGTTCCCCTCAGTTTGAAGTGAGCTTCTGAGCTTCCTTTTGGTAGGGTGTTGAAAGGGGGAAATCTTTGGGGGAACTTTGCAATATGACCGTGTCAGGACCATACAGCACTTACGTTGACTCGATGTGATTTGTTCATTGACGAAAGAGTTCACGTCAAAATCGGGAACTCCGGTTGAGGGCTCCTTGGTACTGTTTGAGGATGGGGCTGAAGTACCTTAGAAGGCTCAGTAAACATCTTGGATGGGGTCACGAACTTATCACTGTTTGGGCAATTTCAACATCAACTTATGGGTCGTGTTGAAAAGAGCTTACCTTTTTGAGGGATGAAATTGGCGCATACAAGGAATCAGCTCAAAACTTGGCTGCGTAGTGGTTGACTTTGGCCAAGCTTGCCATGTCGTGCGTTTCCTTTTGGGGTGATGTTTGCCCGAGGCATCACCCGATTTCCGGGGAATCCCATTTGGCTTCCGGAGCAGGCTCAATTCCCGAATCCACTCTCCTCACATGGAACCTGGCAGAAGCCTCCGGTCAAGCCTGTCATGGACCATGTTAGTGGAGAGCGGGGTGCAATCGAAAGACTCTCCATCCTCCCACTAACATAGCACCTGCGGGCGGGTAATTGAAAGCACTCCCTGTCAGGTGCCGTGTTAGCGGGAGAGAGGGTAATTTGGTGGTTCCGGCTGCGATGCCTATGGTTGCCCCTTCATCGCTGTTTGGTTTGGATTGATTGCACACTGTCAGATTGATTCTGGGTTCTGTTTGGACCGGTTGGTTTGACTGCGATGCCTTAAAACCTTTGATTGAACAAGGAACTTGCCAGGAAGTTGTCAGGAAGGCTATTTCCCTGTTAATCTCGCTTAGTCATTTGTCTTGATTGTCTTTTCTCCTTTTCAGCCGAAGATTCTTCTGCTCATTCATCTTCGGCCTGGTTTTATGCTTCTCATTGTGCCTCTTCACAGATTCTGGGAGGAATCGGTATTGGTCTTATGTAGCACTTCTAAGAAATTGGTTGCATGTATGGTCTTTTTGGCGGACATCACACACACGCACACACGCGCGGATTTATGTTCAGCAGCAGTTTTTGAGTGGCCCCAACCTGAGTCTGTATTGCTTCCTAGTGCTTTGTGCAAACATCTACCATCACTTGGCTTCTGGACAGCAAGGAAAGCAGCGTCGCAAGAACGTTCTCAGCTGGACGTTTGCGTTGTAGGTTTGAGTTTGGTTCAATAGTTTTGCGAATGGCTATCTGCCAAACTACTGCTCTAACCAGTGGTTTCATGTTGGTGACATATGCCTAAATACAGGGAAGTCAATGTGCAAAAGGAATTGTTGTATCCAAATTGGTAGAACCAACAGTGAACGGGTGACATGGGCGCTGTTCGCTCTGGAACACCGTTTGATTGTAAGTATTGTCGTCAACCCAGTAACCCCACTGCCATTTGAGGTTTACAACCGCATTTGTAGCCTAAATCCTACGCTTATGGCCCCATTTAGAAACGAAGAACTCTCCGCCCAGGAGGTCAATGAGCTCATGGAAGTCTGTACCCACAGCCTTCTTCCATTTGCTTAAGAATATGTTGTATTTCCCTTGTCGGTTTTTACTGCTGGAAGAATGTGTTTGTGTTTGTGGTTTTTTCCCCAGGGGGCCTACGCAAATGGACACCGGTTTACTCCTGAAACTCCGGATCCTTCCGGGGGGTGGATGAGCCCATTGCCCAAAGCCTCGGGCGGTGTTTCCCAGGAGGCCGAGCACAGGAAGCAGGCGGCGGCCAGCAGCGCGAGTCACTGGAAGCAGCGCCGGGAGGCGGCGGAGGAGGCGGCACAGGCACGGGGGTTTTTGGGGTGGGGAGGGACTTGGGGAGGGGGGTCCCGAATGAGTTTTCCCTTTGCCAGCTCGAAGATGACGTTTTTGGACCAATCTGAGTTGCCTGAGGTTCTGGTGGAGGTTTACGACTTGCTTTGACTGGTGACAACCCAATTTCCTTTTGAGAAAAGCCGCTTTCGCCGAGGCCGCACGCCTCGCTGAGCAGCAGCACACGGAGCTGGCGCTGTGGCGCCGCGCGGAGCAAGAGGAGGCCGGTATCGAGCGAAGTGATGGGAAGAGGGAGGCCGGTGTGCCTGTTCCGGTTTGTCTTCAAAACCTGCAAAGAAAGGGCAGAGGGACCCCCAAACAAAGGACACCCAGATATGGTGGAGTCTCAAAGAAAATAATTGACGATGCTGGAGCCCTCAAAATGTTAACTGTGATGATGGTTGATTGCAACCGATGTGAATGTGAATGGGACCGCAACAAACATGTTTCTGTTAGAGGAGAAACCGAAGGGAACCACCCCTTTGGTGAAACCCCTAGTTTCAGACAGACTGCTGGGTTCAAATTAAGCCGCCAGATGCCACCAGGTGGGCCCTTGTAGTGATATCCGAAAGCGTGGTGAACTAAATTACTTTCTGGGCGCTAAATGGCCTCTTTTACAAAAAGCAAGAATGGCAAAATGGGCTGGACAACTGTTGATGGCGGCATGCAAGAGACAGCGTCAGTGAGCGGGCATGCAAGCCGTGTGACTCAAGCGAGCCAGAGGATTTGGAAAGAGACAGAAGCGGAGACAAATCTTGCCCGAATGCCTTCAAAGAAGGAGCAGTAGTACAGGAACCAGAAGACGAAGCATGCTGCGCGCACCCCAAGCCCTGATTCGGATAACAGGAAAATGCCCACCTCTAGGCAGTTTCTTTTGGTTGTTCCTCTGTGAAAATGCGAACGTTTAAGCTGGGGGCTTCTTTCAGGATCCAAACAGTTGTCATGTTCATAGCGCTTTCGAGACCTGGGAAGATGTTGAAGCCAGTGCCGGGGTTGCCATACACCGCAAAAGCAATACGAGTTACGATTTGGTGACTTTCCTGGAACCTGACTGCAGGCTCCTGGAAGGCCGTTTCCCTTTGAAAAGGCTCCCAGACAAAATCCATGTTAGTGGAAGGGTAAAGGGGTGCAATTATCTTATTTGCAGGCTGCCAGGGTTTATCCTGGAAAGGTTGACTGGGGTGAGAGTGAAACACTGCCTGCTCACGGTTGGTCGGGATCAGCAACTCCTGAGGCTGATGAAGCAGCCGTTCCGAGGATTCAAAATATGGGTCGTTGGCGATATGATTTGGCAATCTGGCCCCCCCCCCAAAAAAAAAACAAACAAACTGAAAAAGAAAGAAAAGCAACCGGGCCCCAATTGTACATCCCGTGTCCTATTGAGGAGACCACAATTTGGTCCGTTGCTCATATAATCCAGGCCCGGCTTTATCCACTTGCCGTGAAGAGTACCACCGATTTCCGGAGGAAGCTTCTTTTGGGGTGATACTTGTCGCCGTGGGGTTTTGAAAGAAAGCCAACAAGGAACCAGCTGTTTGGGGTGCGGGTGGGGAACGCACCAGCGACACGGCAGTGTCACAGACCAATTGCTTCCGAGGCTGCTGCAGAAGTCCAGGCTCTACAGCACGAGGTCTGGATCTGCTTTGAGGTCAATGGTTCCCTTGACCCCCGCACTCAGTGCCCTTCACGGTCCATGGACACCTGAATCTCAAAATGTTCATGAGAGGGGTAAAGCTCTTCCTCATGTTTGGGGATCATTTTCAGAAAACCAGGCAGAACCAGGAGAAAGGGCCGATCTTTGAAAGGAATGGGGATTATTCAACTCATCCCTCCTGTGTTTGATGCTTGCCCACAGGGCCTTCTTTGCGTTTGTTTTGTCACATCCGCCTACTCTTCCTCTGAATGAGTGGCCCCAAAGAGTTGGGGGCACTGCCACGTCAATGCAGTGATCCGAGCATTCTGGACAAGTTGAATCGCGACCTAAGCAAAGTTTCCACCTTGCGACCCATGAAGGTTCCTTTTCATGGGGATCCCTCATCTTTGCAGCTTTGCGGTTCGATTCTGGTAGACATGAAGGCAAGGACAGCTTTCCTTTCCGGCCCCTCCGAGACTAAGTGGCAGTATCAGTAAACATGGATGCACCCCCCAAAGTTGCATCGGTCAAGGAAGGCACATGGACGGCGGTGCCGAGCACCCACCAAACCTGCACCATCGACCTTGAAACTTCCCAACGTTCCTAAGGGGCACTTGAAGAGACCGTCTCCCTCTCCCGCCTCAAGGAGACGGAGGTGTCACGGCAATTGAGAGCGGAGGAGCAACATCTGCAGGAGGAGGCGGAGCCGGGAGATTGGCAGTCAACGCAGACGCCCCGTGCCCTTTTCCCTTTGTCTTTCTGTTGACGGGGGGATTTTTGGGGACCCATTCAAAGTCAACTACTTGCCGCTGGGGGGCGGGGGAAACGGAATTGAAGGGGTTTCGACCCCTGGAGATCTCGATTCATGGCAACCCAGCTCAGAGTTCATGCAGTTTGGAAAAGTAGATCAATCAAACTGGGAGACTCCCCCCCCCCTCCCGGCCACAAAAAGGTGCCGACGAGGCGATGCGATGCGTGTGTGACAGGTATAGGTGAAGGGTTCCCTGCAGTTCCCGCTTTTGGTGGGGGTTTCGAGCATCATCCTTTTCGAAAGCTAAGGCAAAATTACATGCAGTTTCTTCGAGTAGGTGATGTTAAAGAGGAAGCACAGGGAATCTTGCCGACTCACAGTCTGGGACAGGCCCCTTGCCATCAGTTGCGGCAAGACTTGTGTGATGTTGTTTCCCTTGTGTTTTGGGTAGGGGTTGTGGAACAGGCGGTTTAAGGGCCACCCCCTGTTTGAGAAATAGCTACCAAAAGTCAAGAGAGCCTTGTGTGAGAGATAACGGAGTCATGGGGATGCCTAAGTTTTTTTGTTCAAGGTGTGTCACCCAATGGTGTTTCCTGAGCGAGAAACGAAGATGGAAATCCTTGACCCGATCCAGGCTACCACTATAGGTAACCCTTCGCATTAGGATGGCTCCCGTGGTTTGCCTACTAGGCTCCCGATTGATTTAGGGCCTTCAAAGAACCTAATTTCGAGACCCCCACCTCCGTGACTCCATGGTGTTGGAGGGGTCGGGTGTTCCGTAGAAAGCCCCAGGAGCCTCTGGGCAGGTAAATGGAGTCACCGGGTTTACGAGCCCATCGCTGGACGCCTCGAGGCGGCCTCCGCCACGGAGCTCCAGGCGGCGGTGGCGAGGTGCGAAGACCAAGCAGCGGAGGCACAGAGGCGGAGCCACGAGCGGCGATTCGGGGGCCGGGCGGGGCGGGGTGCCATGGACGCGAGACGCTAAGTGTCCATCATATGGGGGGAGGGCCTCGTTGGGGAAGAGTCAAAGGAAGTTCACTCGGATGCTTTTCACGGGCATGGTAATTTGCCCATGGCGGGCGGGCCCGAGAAAAGAGGGTTTGGAATGCATGGGAGGGTACTAGCGCCAATTTGAACGGCCAGGCCGCATTGGATGGTTCGGTTTTTGAGAGGTGATGCCTAGATGCTGCATGAACCCCCAAGAAATGGGATCTGACCAACCCCCAAGAAATGGGATCTGACCGACCCCCAGAAATGGGATCCGCCCCAAGGCGTCATACAGGTCCCTGCAAGTCCCCCTGGATTTCGAGGGGTTCTGTCAATTCTATGCTGGCACTTGGTGATCCCTTCAAGTCCTGGAATCACTGCAGAATTGGAGGAGCTAGGGCTCCTAGTCCAAGCCAAAGGCCGGTGTCAGGCCTGAAATCGTTGGGCTGATCCACTCGCTTTGCAGGGCTGCGGCACACAGCGCGAGCAGCGCAAATGCGCTGCGCGCGCGGTGTGCTGCGCTGCACGAGGCGCAGCTGGACGAACGGAGGAGACAGAGGGCTAACCCTGGAGTATTTGATAAACTGGGTGTAACATAGGCCCAGAATTGGTTAGTTTACCCAGAAACCAGAAGGGGATGGGTTTCTTTGATTCGTCCAGACCGCCCCCCCTATTTAGATTAGATGTTTAGTTGAGGAATACGGGGGTGTTTTCCCCAAAAGTAAAGCGCGTCTTATTATTATTACATGGGACACACCATCTAGATGAACCAGGGGTTTAATCCTGGGTCGTGCAACTTTCAACCCATTTCGGTCAGAGGAGGTGATCCAAAAGCAAACGCGCTGAAAGGGTACCTAGAGGGAACGGGTCGACGTTTGGTGCCATCTTTCATCGGCATGATTTTTAGTTGGGTCTCGAACCCTTTGGTGGACATCTAGGATGGATTCATGTCCACCAACCACTTTTGAGGTGGTGCCCAGTTTAAATTCATAGCCACATCTTTGCCCTGCACCAAAACTATGATACATACTGTTGAATCCTAGGTTACGGTCAAGGGTGAATTGACCAAGGGAAACCGGACGGCCCGGCTTAAACCAGAGATCCCGATTGGGAGACAGACTCATAAGCTTCGGTCTAGTTCTTCTGATAATTTGTCTGTGGTCTATTTGAGGCTCGGGGCATCTGGGACTCACCTGCAAAAACAAGAGGGGTACGAGCCCCAATCTTGCCATACCCTTTGCGGGACCCGCATGCTGATTCCATGACCCAAGGTCTATCTTTGGGACATCCCTACGTGCTAAGGAGACGTTTGTATCCTGAAAACGAAGATGGCTGACCAACAACTCGCTTGCCTTGGATCCACAGGGCCCAGACTTCTGCCTCACCTTTTTGCGCGGTTTAGTTTCTTTCATTTTGTCTTTAAACCGTTCCAAAGGCGAAGACTTGTTGCAGAAAATCAGATCAGGCCAAGTTTCGGAAGCTTTCCGCCCCCTTTGATTGCTGAAGAGGGAGTCCATAGTTTGACTGCCGTAGTTGCACCCCCAAGAGCCATGGTCAAAAGTCTTGGGACCTCCCAACTCGCAGGCGCTTCCCCCTGGCGTCGATTTTGCCGCAAAAGCGCCCGCGCCTCTTTCACCGGCGTTTTCGGCGGCGCGGAAATTGGCGGTGCTGCGGCGGGAGGCAGAGGCTGCATTGGCCCAGGCGGGGGTTACCGCGGAAGCCCGTGGGTTGCTTCCCATGTTCCTTTTGTTTGAGCCAACACTACCCAAACCAGTGGGTTAGTGGTAGTTGAGGTTTTTTTTGAGGGAATGTCCCATGCAACATCAGCCAAACACCGCGCCTTCCAGGATTTTGGCCCCAAACTGCGCCCGAAGCTGCGACCATTTTTTGTGCGCTGCGGGAGCTGCTTTCGACCCTGTTTGGGGGCCGGCTCCAAAGGTGTTGTTGCCTCCTTTGGTCCTTTTATGGATGCTGAACAAAGTGGTTTCACTGGCTTCCGGCGCGGTTTCTCGCTGGAACTTCGGCCATGGGTACAGATTGAAAAGCAAAAGCCCAAATCCACGAGCTCTGAAAGCAGAGCAAATCTTGGAGGTGTTTGCGTGGCGGTTCCTTTCTTAGCCGTCCCATGTCCTTGAAATGTTGAATCACTTTTTGCTCAGGCAGTCGTCAATCAGCCGCTGGTGGTTTCTTTTTATTCACTTTCTGTTTATTCTTATTCAGTCGTTGAATCACTTTGCTGGGCCATTGGTTGTTTTTCTCGGGTTGGCCGGGCTGTTTGGCGGATTCGTTCGTTCGTTGTTTTTTTTCCGCAAGGAGCAGCAGAGCCGAGCGGAAGCCGAGCAGCTCACAGCCGAGGCGGTGTCTCGAGGTCTCTCGGGACCGGCGGTATGTTCCAAACGATGACCTCTCCGTGTTTTGGCGAGCAGGTGGCTCATTTGGGGAAAAAAAAGGCAACACTTAGATGGTTTTGCTTTGTGACCTCACCAATGAAGGTTCCAACATTTGCGGATACGGAAATTTGAGGTGAGCACAGAATGCAATAGGCAGCATGTATAGGCAACAGGTTAGTTTCTTCCGTATCTCTGGTAGGGCTTCCAGAGCTTTGACAGCGTCGCTTTGACGACCTTAAATTTTGCCCGGGGTTTGTTTTTGACCTTTCTGGTGGAAACCTGGCAGGGCCTGCAGGTTTCGGAATTCTCTTGGGTCCATTTCTGTTAAGAGGTCACAAGGCCCGTCCTGCTTTTGGCTAGTTTGGGAGTCAGGGTACTTTGCCCTCCCACTAGCATACAACCCAGAGACTCCCACCATACATCTCTCAAAGGTTCCTCAACAAAACATAGTCTTCAAAGTCATGAACCTTTTGTTTCCTTCCGGAAACCAACCGAAACTTGTTGGTTCTTTTTGGTAAAGGATACCACCAGTTGGATGATTTATAAGGGTCATTCCATTTCCCATTCCCTGCAAATCGCAAGGACTAAATATTCTTCGAAGTCATGGACCCCCTCGTTTTCTTCAGAACAAACAACTGAAACCCAGCCACCCACCGGAAAACCTCCGCGTCTCCTTCGCTCGTTGCCTCGCTCGAGGCGGCGGAGGCGCAGCGCGCGGCCGGAGATCTGCGGAAGGCGAAGGAGGCCAAGGCCCTGCGGTTGGAGGCCGTGGAGGCGAGGAACGAGAAATGGCCGTGGTGGTCAAAACCAAAGGGATCATCCATTTTGGGGGCGGAACATCCATTTGCTACCCATTTTGATGCTCACCAGGGGTACAGGGTTTTGAGCATGGTTCAAAGGTCAAGAATGGGTACCCAAAATGGGTTGCCCTGGTAAATAAATGGATGTAAATGGAACCCATGGCTAAAACAAGCTGTCCCCTAATGGTTTAATTTTGACCCCCACCCAAATGGCTGTGGTTGTCAAAACCGTTCGGTGTGGTGGGGGTTTGAGTTCTCGATTGCCCTACCCAAAAGGGGGTGTTGGGGTAAAAAACGTGTCAAAGGGCCGGGGGGTGGTCGGGTAGAATGTGTCTAAGGGGTTTACTGGATTTGCTCCCCAAACACGGAGAAACCGCTGGAAGGAATCACATGCGCATCAAACAAGAATGGGTGTGAGTTTAGGTCTCGGACCGACTCGCAGCTTTCGCCACTTGACAGGCTGCCCTTAAGGTTCACAATGGCTTGCCGCCCGTTTTCAGCCCCGCTGCGCAATTGTATGATTCCTGGAAGATCCTTGTGACAAGAACACAATAGTACGAAAACTATTTCCGCTGAAGACTACAGCCCGCTGAAGCAGCTTTAAGCACGGATTGAGATACTGATCGAGCACCACCCAGAAAAGTTCAAAGACCAAGTTTCTCCTTGCTCATTCCCCAAGACCAACCATGGGCACGAAAGACCGCCTCCCAACCGTCGGCCCCGCTCCGAAGGCGAAGGAGCAGTGGCAGGAAGTGGCGCAGCGGAACGAGCACTGGGAGTGGCGCCAGAACCTAAAGGTGGGAGACGAGCGGTGGCGAATGGTTTGGGTCAACCCCACGGGTCACTTCTGATCCCAAACGGTTCTGTCCCGCCAAAAGGACAGTGGGAAGGCCAAAACGGGGGGGGCACAGGGGATCACAGGGGGTGGCCTCCCAAAACACAGTAAATCCAAAGTGGCAAGGGCAGGAGGGGCCGGGATGTTTCAGGCGCCTCTGAATCCTTTTGCTGGGCCACTATAGATGATCAACCTCCCTTTTTCATCACTACGCAACTGGGCATTATATATATATATATACACAGTTATATATATATATATATGTATACAATTATATATATATATATACATACATATTATATACATTGCACCAGTACGCAGCATGGAACCCAAAGGGGTTACCCGCCTCAGTTTCCCAGGCGTTGCAGCTTCAGGCCCAGCGTGGGGCCGAAAAGGCGGCGCAGATGGCGGAGGAGTCCAAGCAAGAAGCCGCGCCTCGGACACGGTTTCCCCGGTTACCCCCCCAAAGCCCAGGTGGTACTGTGGATGGACGAAATCCTGCACCACTTTAAAACTATGGGAAACCATTGTTTGTTGGTATTTACAAGATAATCATCATTCCAGGGATTCTTAGGTGGTGCAGGAATTCGGCCCTCCAGGCCTGGAACTTCCTGCAACCCTCCGGAAGCCTCCCTGAAAGCTCCCCTATATCCCACAGCCCCTTTGGTCAAAGGCTCCATAGCCGTCAGTTGAGAAACACAATCTGGATACGCCAGGGCGAACAGCGGCGGGTGTCAGGCTTCCCCAGATGTTTCCTCTCTCTCTTTCACTCTCTCTCGCTCTCTCTCTCTCTCTCTCTCTCTATATATATATATATATTCATATATACATATATATATATATATATATATGTGTACATTGGACAACACCTAAGTCTTACAGCTGTTGGTACATACACACATTTCAGAGCGTCAAACACCCAAACCAAGGGAAACAAATAGACTTCGTGGAAAGGCAACATCAAACAGGCAAGGCGAACGGGCCCCTTGCCTCGAGCCCGTCTCATGCTTTCGTTGGCAGCGTGTTGTTCGTCTGAAAAGGAGACTCGCGCCCCGAGAGCTCCATGGCTTATGACATGTGGATCCGAATAACACATGCTGTTTTTTCGTTCCGGGCGAAAGCTGTTCTCCAGTTTTCCGGACCAATGACATCGTGACCTCATCAGGATTACCTCACCCATATCCCAGAAATGGAATTAGTGGACGGGGTGACCCTGAGTTCGATCTACCCTGGGAGACGCTCGGAAAATGGAATTCGGGGACCCCTCAATTAAGAGATGTTCCCTATACAAGGTGCCTAGGGCATCCAGGCGACACTTGAGTTCCGTGCAAGAATCATTCCAAAGTCAACCCCTTTGTCACAAGTAGTCATGAGGATTCAGATATCAAGAGACCCTTAGGAAGCTGTCACCATGATTGCCAGGAGCATAGTCCAAATGTTTCCCCCCAACACAACACATCTCTAACCCCTTTTCCCCCTAACCCCTTCCCCCCCTAACCCCTTCCCCCCCTAACCCCTTCCCCCCCCCCCCCCCCAAACCCCTCTTCCCGTCTCCCTTCTAACCCTCCTCCCTCTTTCCCCTTCCCGCCCCTTCCCCCCCTCCCCCGTTTCACCGCTCCCCACTCACCGCTTGCGAGACCGCGGCGCACGAGCTGCGGAAGGAGGTCACGGACTTGGAGTCGCGGCGGCCCGGACGAGAGAAATTTCGCGGCCGCGGATTCGCAGACCGTGGGGACCGGACCTGGGAGACCTCCCCATGACGACTCGGAGGGCATTGGGAAATTTGGACCCACCTATAGGTGTGTCTCGTTCTTGTACGTTTCCAGGGCCGTTGACCCCAAGAAAGTCAGCCGAAAAGTCGGTAGATGGAGAAATTCCAGGCAGCAGTTGGTAGTTGGACGCAGTATTCATTGAGCTTTATTCGTTTCAACTGGTGACCCGGATGCACTGTGCTTTTGACCCTCAAAGATAAGAATCTTATATATACCTTTGCTTTCCACGAATTCTTTAGCTTGGGGTTATTCCCTCATTCCTGAAAATCTGCAAGTTTGATCCACAGGCCTTTTGACCTCCAAAGGCATTTCTTTGGTCTTGGGTCCCGTTGAGCCCAATAATGCGGTTTAATGAGGACCAGGCTAGATGAACTCTCTCTGAAATTGTTAATTTTCTTACCAAAAAGGAACCACCCCTGATCATCCCTGGAGAGTCAACTTCGGATGATCCTGAAGTCGACGTTGCATTGAATCTTGGTTATTGGCTCCGTCATCGCGCAAAAGCGCGTTTCAGTGCGGTTCCAGTGTGTGCATTTTTGCATGGCAGACACAGTATTTCGCGCATGTTGGAGATCAAAGCACGCCCGTTCGCGCACACCCACTGAGAACTGTTCCACCTTTGTCAATCGATAATTACACCTGTTGACGCGCACCCCTGTCAGCGAGTGATAAGCGCACCCGGTCGTGTGCGCGCGCGCCAGATCAGCGCTGTAATCAGTTTTGCCACATGATAAAGCACTCCCGCTCATGCGCGCCCGCTCAGCACTGCATCCACTCCTGCGCATGAAGGCGCCGCGCTTTGCCAGCTCGCGTGTGCTTTTTGCCGGGTACGTCTCTTGGGGAAACACACTCGTTTTTCGGGCCCCCCTCTTTCGACAATTGTCAGTGTCTAACTTTGGGTTTATCAGAATAGTGGTCCCCATGGTCCCGTATAATGGTTTTCTTCTTGCTTTTAATTGCTTTTAAATACCAACCGAAGGGGGCCCATTTTGAGAAGCTCCCAGTTAAATGGTGCATTGTTTGGGAAGGGCTCGCTCGCGGTTGGAACAACTTCCCACTTTTCCAAAGAAGTTGAAGGGGCACCTCGCGAGGCAATCTTCATGTCTATGACCACCTCCTGTGGGAGTCACCCCCCTTCCCCCCCAAAAAAAAGAAAAGAAAAGAGAGAAACAAATCCACTGGAGAACCACAAATCTAACCTCTCACAGCCTATTTTGGGACAGGGGTTGTTGACATGTCCCGGAAGGATCAACAAACCGCTCAGGTTTTGCGCACAGGCCCATTTTAGAAGACGACAGGTGCTCCAAGGGGAGCCTGCGCAGCAGTGTGTGGAAGGGTACATTGTTAGAACTTTCGACTTCAGGAATCCCAACGATAATATGATTGCTCCTTTCAATCGGGGCTTCGGGGACTGGTGCCTTTGGGGAAGCAACCTGGGTTCGACCCAAACAGCTCACTGGTCCTAAGCCGTGTGACAGATTGTTGAGAAGTGTTCCCTTTCACTCCCACGCCAGGTTTGCTTGTTTGCAGATCAGGAGACCTTCCCTTCGTTCTGATTCGTTGCTGGCGGACTTGGGAAGGAAATTGTGTAATTATTGTGGGAGGGCCCTGCCAGCGAACGCCTGCTCGTGATAGTGTGGGGCAATCTGAGCCTTGAAGCTCAGACAAGAGTCTCTCAAGAAATTAACCACCCAAGGCCTGGTCAACAATAAAGGGGAACCCCCATGAGATTTGTGTCCTCACGCCTGTGCCGCTCGTCACCACCGAAGCATACGAAGCAGAACACGATGGAACAGCATTTGTGGCAGGGCAGCACACAGGGCGCTGTACTTAAAGCTCCCAATCATGCGGGCCGGGAAACTGGTATGCCTTTGATGTGACGCCCTTGAGCCGTCAATCGCTTGGCGCGCAAGCTGAGACTAGATGGCGCCCTGGCCTTCGCTGGTAAGAAGAGCTGCCCTCATTTTACTTCCTGCAGGGGTTGACTTTGAAGAAAGACGCACAAGGATACCATTGCTTCTTTGTCGGCGATCTGGTTTTGCCGGAGCGCAATGGTTCGGCCTCTCAGGCGTGGGGCTCCCTCGGCTTACGTTTCGCAGAGCTTTTCGCTGTGCTTTCTGAAAAAGGTCGCAGAAGCGATGAGCGGGTTTGTCTTGCTTTCAGCTTCGCGGACTTCGTTGCGATTCGCGCGCCTGAGTTGGGGCCCAGGCCACCACTGAAGGATAGAGCCCCTACCTTATTGTGAAAGAATGGCTGGGGCCACGTTTTGAAGCTGCCCCGGTCGGGCGTCACACCGCGCGCAAGCCTGCGTGCTGGAATTGCTGGCTGCGGCAACGTCAACCCGCACCTTGCTGAGGTAGCCTGTTGAAGCGCGCGCTGGCTTGCGAATTCGGCTTTAATCTCATGCCATGTTACATCCTGTTCCAGTCAGCCTCTCCCAGCCCAGGACGTTGCGGATGCGCGCAGAGCTGGTGCACGCGCGCGCACCAGTGCTTCCGGAGCAGCCGCGGCGCGAGGAGGCCTTGGGGAAGCTACGCAGCAGGGAGCGCGAGGTGTTGCCATTTGACCGGGTGAGCCTGGCATGGTTGCAGGCATTTGCAGGTCAAACAACATGTTCCAGCAAAAGTCTGTCCAGGAAGCAGCTTAGCGATGCGCCTTGCCGCGTGCGCAATTAGACTTACGGATGTCGCGCGCCTTGTCTTGGCGATCACTCGGTGGCATGATGAGGAATGCAAGAAGCGTGCCAGGATTCTCCTTTGAAGTTGTTTTGTCTGGCCTCTTCGGTGATATTTTTTGTGGCTCTACGCTGGTCCGTTTTTGCCTTTAGGCCCTTATTTTTGTTTGATTATCTTGTCTACGATCTAGGCAATCCGCTGTTCTTTGTGTTTCGGGTGGCTTTCCACACGACAAGCGCCAAACGACATTGTTCATTGAACACCTCCCAGAAGCATCTGTAGTCGATGAATCACGTGCGCTTGCTTCGACCGGCGAGACAGGTTCAACGCAATGTTAAATTTGTTTTATTCCAAGCTAGCGCCAAAGAAAATCAAAATAACGTTTCGCCCGCCCGAAACCATGCCTTACACGCGCTCTCTCTCTCTCTCTCTCTCTCTGTCTCTCTTTTTTCCTCTCTCTCTCTCTCTATTTATATGCACATATGTATTTTATATATACACGCAAAAGTGCAAACTCGCCCGTTTTACGGAAAAACACACGCGCACAATCGGACCTGTTTCAGGTTGAGATGGTAGGCTGTGTGATGGATGTGGGCTGCTCCACCTTTGAACTGTCAGGGACTAGCAAGTGAGCATGCGTATTTGCGCATTGTGCGCCTGGGCGCATCAGTTGAAGCAAGCGAGCGGGTGGTAAGTTTTTGAGCGAGTTTCCGAGGTATTATTGACATGCTAGGCATGCGCAAACACATTCCAGCCGGCATGCATGTATACTGGCAGGCAAGAGCAAGTTGGCACGTGTGGACATTGTCTCCCCTGGAGGCCCTGCTCAAGGAACTGTCCGTGCTACGAGGGCAAAGTGATGCCATGTTGGAGGAGCGGTGCCATGCTGGTCCGAGCAACTAGTCGACTTAGTTGCTTTGCGGGTTTTCACATGTATGTTTGTTGTTTTCTCAGCGGCTTCCAACAATGCCTTTTTTCATTGCACAACTAAAGCGTTTTAAAGGCGAACGCTGTGACCAGGCTGGTCGTTGCGGTTTTCTTTCAATCAGTTCGCAGGAGGGCGTGTTGTTCATTGCCTTTGGGGCCTGGCTAAGTTCCAGAAACAGGGGCAAAGGCAAACCGGTGCATTCGCAAGATTCCGTTTTTTGCTGCCAAATGTCACAGCCGGCAACGCGGCGGAAAGCAGATGAATGCAATGGCGAGGGTGTTGGTCAACGTTTGGGGACGCGGCAGCAGGTTGGGAAATCGAGCTGCTCGATCAAGACATGTATTTGACATATGAGGCAGAGATATACACGGCAGGTTCTGAGGCTTTTGCAGCGCCAACAGCGCCAACTACATTTCTTATGGGCCCACGTGTTTTAGTTCGTAGGTGGTAGGGCTCGGCATCCGGCCCTGCGTCTCCTTACCTCTCGAATCGATCCGAAACGAATCGCCCCTGTCAACTGCGGGAATCTCGGCGCCTACAAATTGAAGATCTGGGAACTGATGCACGACCTCATTTTTACGCAGGTTCTGCCTTAGTCTGCGGAAATATGCAAACACTCAATCAGGCTAGCCTCAACTTGATATTTCTTTGACCGCCTACCAATGAATGTCTATGATAAATACTACATGTGTTGTTCTTCTTAGAGAGGGCGTCGCTTGCTGCCAACAAACTAGCTGAGGAGTTATGTGGAGGACTGTGCTAAGCAGGTTCGCTTTAACTCCGTTTGGGGGGATGCCTTGGATGCGCATAGTCACTCAGGCGAGAGTTTAGTATGTTGGGAAGTTAACAGTCAGGGGCCCTACCCCGGCTCCGGCGACGTTTAAGGGCTCAATAGGGCCAACCTCCAGGCGAAATACTGCTATTTGTACTGCTATATATTGCTATATCCACTGCCCATGGGTCAAGCCAAAGCCGGGGTTTGTATCCCTGAAAGCAAGACTCGGCTCTTTCGTCTCGAGGAGATGGATCGACTTCGCCGGGCCGTGGATGAGAGTGAAGAGGCGGACTGTTGCAAACACACTGCTTGCTTGATAAGTTTGTCTCCAAATGAGGCGGGCAG